TGATTATGGTATTTTAGAAAAAACATGTCATATTTGTTATAATTAACTAACTTATCTAACTTCTTTAATAGAATCAAATTAATTAAATAGGTCTTACATTAAGGATTAGAGGAGTATAAAATGTAACTTGGATAAGTAAGAGAGAAAATGAGTAAAAAAGAGATGATAGAGTGATTGGGGAAAAAAAAGAGATGAGAAATATTTATAATTAATTTTGTGTGAAAATAACAAAAATAAATTAAATGATCACACAAATCCAAATCATACCCTTAAAAAAAAAATAAGGCCGTTCAAAAATTCGATGCTTTTTGTTAAAGAAGAGATTTAATAATTTTATTTTGAATTTAAAGTAGTAATTTATAAATGCTGTATTTTCCTGTAAATTTAATATTATGTCTAAAACAAAATATTTTTTCCTTCAAATTTAATATTTATATCTTTATTCATCTATCTATGTGATTCTTTAACGCCAAATATCAATGAAATTTTAAATAATATGACACGTTTCACCCATTAACAAACAATACTCCCTTCATTTTTATATACAAAGTAATTTTTAACTCATTTATTAAAATAAAAAAGTTTTATTAAATTGAGTTGATGTTCATAAAAGGAAAAATAGCAAATAAAGACTTTCTAATATGTGAAATTGTGATTTGTGACTCTCAATTTGAAAAATAGCAAATAAAAACCCAGTTTCATATTGCAAATATGAATTATTGGTGAAATATATGAAATGCCCCTCAGCCAAGTTAAGATTTGGTTTACTAAAGTTGTCATTTGCTAAAGTAAACTTATCATTTTCTATAGTCAATTTGTCATTTGGCATACCCTCAGTCAAATTGTGATTTGGTTTACTGAAATTATCATTCGCTAAAGTGAACTTATCATTTCCCATAGTCAACTTATCATTTGCTATACCCTCAACCAAGTTGTGATTTGGTCTATTGAAGTTATTATTCGCTGAAGTGAACTTATTATTTTTCATAGTTAATTTATCACTTGGCCGATGAGCATTTCAGACATTTAACCAAGATTTTATATTTACAATATAAGACCGGATTTTTATTTGTTATTTTTTAAATTAAGGATCCAAAATTATAATTTCACATATTAGGGGATTTTATTAGCATTATTTAATTAGGCAAAGCTTCTGGAATGTGACCTGCAGGTAGACGTAAATTGCATGTGAATTATGAACCCGCTTTTGTTGCTGTCTAATCCACGTATGATTGAATCCCCCAGCGCATGCGAGTTATCGTCTGCAGCGCACCACGTAGTCCTTTGGGAAATTTTCGTTTAAGTACTGCACTACATAATTAATTTCAAAGAGCCCCTAAAACTTTCTGAAACATCACTGCAGGACCAAGGGGGCAAACTGATATTAATTCTACAAAGAAAATGACGCTATTGCCCCTCATAATACTTATTGCAGGGTGATATGTAAATGGACTAATTTCAGTTGTAAATAAAGGTATGTATGTTGCAAATTGACTAGTCTCATTTGTAAATGGGCTCTCTCACACTTATTCACTCACAGACACCTTTTTCAGGTGAAGGAGGTGATATGTAAATGGACTAATTCTAATTGTAAATAAATGTATGTATGTTGCAAATTGACTAATCCCACTTGCAAAATGGACGCTCCCACACTTGTTCACTCACAGAGACCTTTTTCAGATGAAGGAAGTGACATGTAAATGGACTAATTCCAGTTGTAAATAAATATATGTATGTTGCAAATTGTCTAGTCCCACTTGTAAATGGGCTATCCCACACTTGTTCACTTAGACACATTTTTCAAGTGAAAAAGGTGATATGTAAATAGACTAATTTTAATTGTAAATATATCTATGCATGTTGTAAATTATCTAACCTCACTTGCAAATGGGTTCTCCCATACTTGTTCACATGAGGGGCAATAGGGTCATTTTCTTTGTGAAATTAATATCATTTTGCCCCTTTGATCCTGCAATGAAGTTTCAGAAAGTTTTAGGAGCTCTTTGAAATTAATTCTGTACTGCGGTCCTTAAACGAAATTTTCCCTAGTCCTTTTTCAATTAATACTCCCGTAATATAATAAGCCCTTTGAAAAAAAATTATAGTCGAAAATATAAAAATTAATAGGATAATTAAAGAAAAGTTTGAAAATAAATCACTCATTAAGAAATTAATTGACAAATAATTTTTTAAAACTTTGCACAACTTAACTTATTTCGTGTAATTTAAGTTTTCCTTAACTTACATTTTCTTATACTAGTAAAATTCATTATTCTAGAAATCATATCAAGCTGGACTCAAAATCTCATCCACACATATTGCGTGACAGTATTACTGTAGCAATTGATAACCTACCATTCAAATCTCATCAAGGGGGCCATGTAAATCAAATCTTAACTTTCACGGAACATATTTACATGGACACTTTCAAAATGCTAATCCAAATATCCCACAAATCAATATCATCAATTCATTTCTTTCTACCCCTAAAACTTTATTAGCTTTTCAGTACAAATTTGGTCCCCCCAAAAAAAGCCTTTCAGTGCCCAAAAAAAAAAACCTTAGCTTTAATTATATACTGTTCACCAAAACAAAATTTTAAATGCTTACATTTATTCTACCAAAAATATTAATATTTTATAAATTTATCAACTAATGAAATAAAACACCTTCAGGCACTAGCCATACACCCATTGATAAAAAATACTACATCCAGTCCTAAATATAAGAATTAATTGACTAATTTGAGTAGATGAAGGAAATAAATTAAGTTAGTTATTTCTAATAAATACGTATTGTGTTTTTTAAAATATCCTTAATAATCATGTCAATTAACTAGAATTATCATTATTAAAAAGACTACTTTAAAAAAAATACATAAATATAAAAAATAAAATGATTTAAAATCTTATATTTAATATTAAAATAAAAATTAAATAAAATTTTATATTAAAGACTGACAAGTTGTTCGTGGTTGGTTTTTCTCGTATTAAAGACTTTGGAAAGTGAAAGATTAGAGGGCTACTGGCCAGGGACATGATGGGATGGCGGTCCTCGTATATTAGCCACAGGGCATGGGCAATTTGGACAGTTCATGAATTCCGTTGTCCCCAGTAAAGTAAATTAAAATAAAAGAGAGACCAGCTGGTCCAGGCTCATAACTTTTTAATGCTATAATGGATAATAACCCAAAAAGGCTAAAAATATGAAATTCCAATTTTAGAAGTTAACACTACATAATGCTATAATGAGAGAGAAATCTAACTGATCATTTTAAAATTGAAATGAAAAAAAAGCCTTTTACTGGAAAAAAATTTAAAAAAACCTACTTACCAAATATATATATATATATATATATATATATAAATCCAAACCTCTAGCTAAATACCCATCGGTACCTTTCAGGCCCCAAAAAGAAAAAAAGGATCCATTGGTACCACGACCCCTCGTCGGGCATTGACAAGGTGGAAGGATTTTTTTTTTTTTTTGTGAAATTGGGTGGATATCATTGAGCTGTCAAAGTTTTGCCATTAATACAATGCGGGGAAAAAAAAAATCTATACTCTTTTAGGTTCAAAATATAAGCACTTAATTTTTGTTTAACTACATTTTAATAGGTATTAACAACTTTTGTTTAACTGACATATAAGATCACTCTTTTAGGTCATTCACAATTTTTTTACAAGTATTAACAATATTTCAGTATGCATTAATAATTTTGGAATAAAAATTAACAAAACATAATAATTATTATAAAAAAGACATAATAATCATCATTCAGGAATTACTTGTATCTTCTTTCTCACACACACATTTCAGTCAATTTAAAGAAGTATCATAATTAACATCATATTACACATTCTGGTTCTAGCTGGCAAAAATCTCGATAATTAGCTTTCGGTCTTCTGGTCAAAAAGCAACATCTATGAAGACGTGTTGGTGTACTATTATGCAGTGATGATTGTAACTTTTTATGAATTTTCCATTTATCGCTTAAAGACAAAATTTTGCTTATTTCTTTTTTTTGAGGATCGACGAATCAAATGATATTTTTGTTTCAATTTTTGCCTCTTCTTCTCCCTTTGAATCAAACTTTTCCTTGCCATAATACTTCATTTCTTGTTACTATCAACAATACAAGTCGGAGCTTAGATGTAGAAATATTACTATACATACATAAGATAGGCGGTATAATATCTACAAGATCGGAATATTATAATTTTTCTCAACCATTCTCCTTTTTCTTGGCCAAAACATATGGTTGTTACTTCTAAAATTTGAAATCATATTTAAAATTGGCACCAAAATTATAAAGTAATGTTTGAGAAATTATTTCTTTCATTTCGCGTTTTTTTTTTTCAAAAAAACAATTTTACTATAGATCATAACTTGCCCTCTCATTATAAGACAATATTTGAATTTTTTTCTAAGAAGACAAAAATTAATTAAAGATACACAGTGAAGTAAGAAAATGATAATTGATAATGTTGTTTAAAAAATATATTATATATAATAATAAAGAGATAAGTTCTGTCCATCCAAATATACAAAATTGTCTGGTTGGTAATCTAGTAATCAGAATGAGTTTTGGTGCTTATCAAAGTGAAAAAGCACCTCAAGTTCATCATATCTAGATCATTTAAATTTGATTTGGACTGTTCGTATTTTTTATTTTTAAACAAAAAATTATTTTAAAAAAATGATATTAAGAGATTATCTTTATTTTAGATTTTATCCTCATTAAAATAATTATTTTAAAAAATAAAAATAAAAAGAAAATTAAATTTAGACCATCCAAATTAGATCTAAATGGTTCAAATGTGATAAGTTTGGGATGTCCAAAACTAAAATAAAAAAAATAAATTTAAACCATCTAAATTAAATATAAATGATTCAGATATAATGAGTTTGGGGTGCTAATTAGAGTTACCGAAAGTAGTTTCGTTGGTAATAACAAGAACCTCTATAAATAGATGAGCTTCATCAAGTAGTTCACCACAACTGATAAACTACTAAACCAGAAGCAGCCATGAGAGTTGAAGGTGGTCGTGGTTTCCGGCTGTGTGTGCTTCTGGTGGCCACCGCCACCGCTCTTACGGCGGTTGCCAGTGGCGATGCAAAGCCCAGCCATTACTCCGTTCCCTTCAATAGAACCCTCTTTCCTTCTGACTTTGTCTTTGGTGCTGGCTCTGCTGCTTATCAGGTCGGCGTGTGTCTGTATATCTTATATTTTTTATGCATTGTGGGATCCAATTGGGAATAACTGTGTTAAACCGGTCAAAGCCCCAAGAACAACTTTTATATATTTATATATATATTCATTTTTAATTATTGATGTGTGAGTGAAAGTTTATGGATATATTTTTTTCCCCTGGTTTGTTGATAAGAACAGTCAGAAGGAGCAGCAAATATTGATGGAAGAGGACCAAGCATCTGGGACACCTTCACTAAGCAAAACCCAGGTTTGTTCTAACCATGCATGTTTCATTTTCTATTTTCTCCCCTTTTTCTAATGTTTTTAGTATAAAATATTTTTTAAAAAATTTGATTTTTAATTAATATGTGTAACTAATGAGCAGGAAAGATATCAGATCAGAGCACTGGTGCAGTGGCCGATGATTTCTATCATCGCTACAAGGTGCTGCTCATCATCAACTTCATCTATTTTGTCAATATTCACCACCCTTACACACACACACACACACAAACACACACAAGTGTGTGTATATATAAATAAATTAAAGGGGTAATTAAGTAATAACAGTTTAGGATTAGATGTGAGATCGAATCACAACCTTCCATTTATCGGAAGTTTTTTATGTCACTAGATTAAAATTACAAGTCTTTTGCTTTTGTATTGTGTGGTTGTATTTGTGAATAAATGCCTTTTTCGCCCCCAAATATTGCAGAGTGACATACAGCTGATGAAAAAAATTGGGCTGGACTCTTTTAGATTCTCCATCTCATGGTCTAGAATTTTTCCTGGTAAGCATTTTCTCACATTAAACGATTAGGGCATGAAGTGATTTAAAGATAGTTATCAATTGACTTTGTGCAGAGGGCAGGGGAAAAGTGAATGAGTTGGGAGTCAAATTCTACAACAACGTTATAAATGAGCTCCTTGCTAATGGTCAGTCCCTCCCTATTTTTACTTAATCGACTAGTCACCTCCAAATCACCATTATATTAATTAATTTCTGTATTAACATGAACTTTTGAAATAAATAACGCAAATTAATGATTAAGCCTTTTTCATATCTATTGGCTGAATAATTGTGGACATGTATATAGGTTTAACACCATTTATCACCCTCTTTCATTGGGATCTTCCTCAAGCTCTTGAAGATGAGTACGGTGGATTTCGTAGTCCTAAAGTTGTGTAAGTGATAACACACCATTATCCATCAAACCTCTTTATGTGTATTTTCAAAACTTCTTTTGCAATAATTTTCCTAAATTTTGAGTTATTTGTGGTTAATTCATATGTCATAATCTCATTATCATTATATCTCTTCTGATTTCTAATTAATTGATTGATTGATGATTTTAGGAATGATTTTCAAGAGTATGCAAACTTCTGTTTCAAGTCATTTGGAGATAGAGTTAAAATTTGGGTTACTCTAAATGAACCCTTCTCATTCAGTGTGAATGGATATAATGGCGGCACCTTCGCACCGGGCAGGTGTTCTAACTACGTCGGAAAATGCACTGCCGGTGACTCCTCCACCGAGCCTTACTTGGTAGCTCACCACCTACTCCTTTCTCATGCTGCTGCTGTTAATATCTACAAAACCAAATATCAGGTTCTCTTTATTTTCCAATTATTATATTCCCCCAAAGCATGTTAATCCTACTTCATCAGTTTTTTATTGAACAAAATATGCAATTTGACTTTAAAGATTTTTTTTTCCAAGTGAACAATATACTCAATAATTATTTATTATAATTATTATAGGCTACTCAAAAGGGAAAAATAGGAATCACTTTAGTGACAAATTGGTTTGAGCCAAAGTCTGAAGCTATGGTCCATCATGCTGCCGCAAATCGAGCTCTTGATTTTTACTTTGGATGGTAAGTGATAAAGACACGAGGCCAAGAATTTGCCTCTCAACATGTCTCCATTAAATTTGAATTGTTCAAAAATAAATTTGCCTTTAAAAATTAAATTTTTTTCCTAGTGAAATATACGCTGGATAGTATCATATAGTCAAATTAAATAGTCAATTAAGAGAAAGAAAAAAAATCTGGACGCTAAGCTAAAAATAAGTGGATGTGCAGGTATGCTCACCCAATTACATATGGAGAATATCCAGAGAGCATGAGGTCATATGTGGGAGATAGACTTCCAAAATTCACAAAAGCAGAATCAGAAATGCTGAAAGGATCTTATGATTTTCTTGGGGTTAATTATTATACCACCAATTATGCTGAAAATTCCCTCTCTACTTCCACTGTTAATAGGAGTTATACTTCTGATATGCGCGTCACTCTCTCCAGTAAGTAATTGATCAAGTTAACATATCCCCGGAACTCAAGTATATATCATATATTTTTTTTCTAAAAAAAGGGAAGATAATTCTGCATGTCATTATAATTTTATTTGATTTTTTATCAAGTTTCCGAAGTTTTATTCTTTTTATCATGTTCTTATAATTTTACTTGATTTTAATCAGATTTTTGTAGCTTTTTTTTTTTTTCCAATCTAGTTCTTATAATTTCACATAGTTTTTAATCAGCGTCTCACAGTTTCAGGTGACTGACAAAAAGGGGGAAAACAAGAAACTATTAAGATCTGATTAAAAATCATATGAAACTCTAAGGAGGACATGATAAAAATTAAAGAAACAAAAATTAGCTACGGGGACTTAATTAAAACAACGTAATTTATAAAAACCTCGAAAAAAAAGTATAGAGATGTGATTAAAAATCAGGTAAAAATATAGGTACTGGCAGATTAATTTTTCCTAAAAAAATTACATTTCTATATATCTTCCTTTCTCAATTTAATGTACTAACATATAAAACCACCTCACTTTTATTTCCTTACAATCTCAGCCACGAGAAATGGTCTCTATGTTGGTACCCCGGTATGTTCTTTTCTTCTTCTTCTTATTAAATACTCCTCTGGTCCTTATTATAAGACCCAATTTGACTTTTTATTTGGTTCTAATTATAAGACCAAATCCATTTTCTCTCTTATATTTATGCATTTTTTTCCAAGATAATCCTTCTAATAATGATAGTTTTAGCCAATATACTTAATTAGCAAGGATATTTTAGGAATAACAACACTTATTTATTATAAATAACCAACTTAACTTACTTCCTTAATCTCTTCAAATAAGTCAATTGGGTCTTATAATTAGGACCGGAGGAGTACATAAACACATCCTTGATTAATTTCCAATCAGACAATTTGTGCCATAAGCCTGATTGTTACAATTGTGTAGACTGCTCTGAGCTGGCTCTATATTGCTCCCAAGGGAATCCATCAACTTATGATATATGTCAAGGACAAATACCAGAACCCGCCCATTTACATCACTGAAAATGGTATATATATCATCATCAAACACTTTCATGGTCACAGGCACAATATTATTATAGTTTGTGATATCCTTAATTTTTAAGTAATTTTGGGGTAATTATGTATAGGAGTGGCTGAATTAAATAATGCGTCAAAACCGGTTCAAGAAGCAATCAAGGACAGTATGAGGATTAGATATCATGATAACCATCTCAGAAATCTCCTTCAAGCTATCAAGTAAGTGATCCATACATATACATAAATCAAAATTATAAACTAGACCTTGTATTATACACCGAACGCAATATTAAGTAAATTGAATTTGGGTATTATATATACAGGGATGGGGTGAACGTGAAGGGATATTATGCATGGTCATTTTTTGACGACTTCGAGTGGGATGCCGGCTACACAGTTCGATTTGGAATCACTTATGTGGATTTCAAGGACAATCTCAAAAGATACATGAAGTACTCTGCTTATTGGCTCAAGATGTTCCTCCTTCATTAGTCATAATCATCATCAACTCCTTAATTATGCAAGCCTTTGGAGAGCAATTAATTTGTAGTATATTTAATGTCCGAGGCTTTAATTTGCTTTGGAATCACATCAGCACCACGTATGGTTGCTTATTGCCATGTTCTGAAATAAATAATCATGTACTTTTTATGAATTTTAAATAAATGAAGTCTTGACTTTAGTAAGTGCTATATACATGTATGAGATAGAGCTGCGAGCCACTTATTAATGACCTATAAATTAAAGTATATCTATATGCGTAAGACTCCAAATCCCCAGTTTGGACTTTGGAATATGCAAAAACTTTGATGCAATATTGCACGAAACCTCGAAAATATTTCAATGAAAAATTAATATCATTTTTATTTTCTAATGCTTAACAAGTTTTTATTAATATATAAATACATACTACCTCTCATCCTAAACAAACCAGGCCTTATATTTTGGACGGGGGATAGTAGAACTTGAAGTATTAAACTTCTACCACAAAATTCTTTTACTTGGCACAAATATTCTTTTATTGGAGATAATTATTTTAAGACACTATTAGGTATTAAATATAGGCACGTTTCTCAACAGTAATTTAAATATTGGTTCATCATGTTGTGAGAGACTATCTTATTCTGCTAGACCTAATCTCTATTGGTTACCACAAAATTATAATAACATATAAAAACATGCTTCAACGATTGGGGTAGATAACACTTTCCATTGTATTTTTTTAACACATAAATATCTTTCTACCAAGGATAATCCTACTCAAGATACAATTAGATACTAAATGTAAACACTCATCTACCATATTTTAAAACTTAACTTATCATGTTATAAGAGATTAGCTCCATTTGCAACGAAAAAGTTTTATAACTTTGAAAATTTGATTAATATAATTCACCTCCCCTTGATGTTGCCATTTATAATACAATATTTTAACTTCACTTTCATAAATTTTTTAATGAAATTTAGTTATTTTGAACTCTAATTTCACCATCAATATTTTTTATTGTCAATTAGTTTTTTTAAATCACAAAAGCTGTCATTTTTTCCTTTAATTTGTTTATTCAGACAACTACCTTCAACTATAATACACTTCTAGTCTTCCTCTTCAGAAAAAAAAAAATTTGCAACCTAGCTACTCCATATTTATTATTTCCTATAGACTGCATTAATTATTTATATCTTCCATTTTTTGAAAAAAATTATTAAATAAAATTTAAAATCAACGTATTGTAGTAATATCTAGACACAATCTTCATTCAATATAAATTATACTGTTCAAATGGATTGCGATCACCAACATCGGAATGTGACATTTAATTTGAAGACACTAGAATTGTCTAATCATTTAAAAATTTTGTTTATTTTTTTTTAAAAAAAAAAACTTATACTCTACGAAATATACGAAGCATTTCAGTTGCCATGAAACTTATATATTCTTAATGATATTTGAAATATATATATTCAATTCTTGTTGGCAAAAAATATATATTCAATTCTTATCTTTCTACATCCAAATATTTTCTAAATAATTTTTTTAAAAAAATTAAAAGGTTATATGCTTAACCTATCCTTGAAACATTATGCACGTGTGTGTGAAAAATAACAGTATAATCTCAATTAGTTTAGATTTTAGTATAGGAAAAAAGTGTTTAAATATTCTGGAAGTATTAACAAAGAAATGCCCAGTACCTGAAAATTTTTTTTTTGCTCTTATAGGCCTTAGAAGTTTATTTTTGTAACATTACTATCCTAAATTATTGTTATCCATAATTAAGTTTGACCATTAAAAATACTATTCAAATTGTATATTTTAATAGTCAAACTTAATAATAGATAACAGTCAAGGTATTTTTGTTACAAAAATAAACTTCTAGAGCATATAAGAGCTAAAAAAAACTTGTAGGTAGTGGACGCTTCTTCATTGATATTTTCAAGATATTTAAACACCTTATCTTTTTTAATATATATTAACACAATACTCTATGTCAAGTAACTTATATTTATTATGTCAAGTTTTTTGTAACATATAATTATGTATCTTATTTTTAGCATATTATCATTGAGTTATAAATTTATATGAAAAAAAATAAGACACACGTGAAGAACTTATAATAGCAAATATAAAAAAATTGATTTAAGTATTTTTGGTATATGTATTTATATGCACATTGGAGTTGACTGGTGGATAATTCTCCCACCCAACTTTGATCAATCAATTATAGCCACTCATGATAAATTATGGGGGAGAATTATCAAGAGGCTACAGGAAAGATATTTAATTATTAAAATTTTTTAGTGAAATGTGACTAGTTTTGAACATATTGTTATTTTTTATTGGGAAAAAGACAGAAAAATGCTACTTAAACTTCATAATCCCCAAATGGTATATTAAATTTGAGAAATCCCAATTTGGTCTCATTATATGAAAAGAAAAGATCAAATTACCCTTGATTTTAAATATTGTTTTAAAAATATCATAGCCCCCACTGGCCGGCCAGTAACCGGAGCTTCAGCGGCAGTCACTGGAGCTCTGGCGACCGGTCGACAATTGGTCACTAGAGTTCCGTTGGTCAGAAAATTTTTTTTTGAAAATTTTTACAATTTCAGTATAACGGTTAATAACTTTTGTAATGTTATTAACAACTTCAATATAGCAATTAACAACAGGTTTTCTGGGAAATTCAACAAACTCCGGCTACCGGAAACAATTTTTTTGAAAATTTTTACAACTTCAATGTAACCGTTAATAACTTTTGTAACGCTATTAACAACTCTAGTATATCAGTTAACAACAGATTTTCTTAAAAATTCAACAATTGGTTGCCGAAGCTCCGGCGGAGGAAAACAATTTTTTTGAAAATTTTTACAATTTCAGTATAACGGTTAACAACTTTTATGACCTTATTAACAACTTCAATATAGCAGTTAACAACAGGTTTTTGAGTTTGTTAAAGGCATTACTGAAGTTATAAAAATATCACTTTTTGAATTTTTTGAAAAACCTGTTGTTAACTGCTATACTGAAGTTGTTAATAGAATTATAAAAGTTGTTAACCGTTATACTGAAGTTGTAAAAATTTTCAAAAAAAATTATTCCCGGCCGCCGGAGCTTGTTGAATTTTCCAGAAAATCTATTGTTAATTGCTATATTGAAGTTGTTAATAGCATTATAAAAGTTGTTAACCGTTATACTAAAGTTTTAAAAATTTTCAACTTTAATATAACGTTAACAATTATGTTTTTTTTTAAAAAATGTTTACAACTTCAGTATAACGGTTAACAACTTCGATATAGCAGTTAACAACAAGTTTTTTAAAAAATTCAAAAAGTGGCATTTTTATAACTTCAGTAATGCCGTTAACAAACTCAAAAACCTGTCGTTAACCACTATACTGAAGTTGTTAATAGCGTTACAAAAGTTGTTAAAGGTTATATTGAAGTTGTAAAAAAATTTTAAAAAATTGTTTCCGATCACTGGAGTTTGTTGAATTTTCCAAAAAACCTGTTGTTAATTGCTATACTGAAGTTGTTAATAGCATTACAAAAGTTGTTAACTGTTATACTGAAGTTGTAAAAATTTTCAAAAAATTTTTTTTCGACCGACGGAACTCCGGTGACCAATTGTCGGCCAGTCGCCGGAGCTCTGGTGACTGCTACCACCGGAGCTCCGATGATCGGCCGGCCAATGGGAACTGTGATATTTTAAAAACAATATTTAAAATCAAAGGCAATTTGATCTTTTCTTTTCACATAATAATCCCAATTTGGTCTCTTCAGACCAAATTGGAATTTCTCAAATTTAACATACAATTTGGGAATTATGAAGTTTAAGTAGCATTTTTCTATCTTTTTTCCTTTTTTATTTTGAAACTTATCATTACTTATTCTTTATTTGTTGATGGACTTTAAAATAATTAAATTTATTTCTTAAAATTTGATTATAATTCTCGCTCAATTATATCCTCTTAGGACGTATTTGTTCAGATCTCACGTGAAAAAAATTGAAAGAAAATATTTAATTTATATATTTTTAAATAAAATGGTAATAATATTTATTTTTACAAAATATTAGATTTCAATTCTTGGGTGTAATGATTATTATGATAGTGATGGAAAAGGACGGTGGATGAGAGAATCTTTCTCCCATCACTACAACTGTCTCTTAATGAAATTTTCTCTTCTGCCAAAGACAGCGACAACAGCATGATGGCAATAATGGTGACCCGACTTCGAAAATTATCCTCTTTTTTTTCTTTTTGGACTAAAAGACTGCGGTAAAAGTAAGGGAATATAGCAAATAAAAACCCCATAATATGTAAAATTATTATTTGGGACTTTTAATTTGAAAAATAGTTTCAGAAGACCCGGTCTCATATGCAATTATGAAATCTTAGTGAAATGTCTGAAATGTCCCTCAACCAAGTTATGATTTGGTCTATAGAAGTTGTCATTCATTAAAGTGAACTTGTCATTTCTCATAGTTAACTTGTCATTTAGCATACCTGAGTTGTGATTTCAGACATTTCACCAAGATTTCATAATTATAATATGGGATTGGGTTTTCTAAAATTATTTTTCAAATTGAGAGTCCCAAATAGCAATTTCACATATTAAAAGCCTTTATTTACCATTTTTTCTAAAAGTAATTGTTATAGGTGATCTCTTAAATTGTAAACATGTAATTTTATTTCGTGAAATTTATTTAATCTTAAAATGTTAGTTTTTAAAGACGAAACAATGTTAAAATTTAGTGAAGCATCATAAATAATGTTAAAAATGATGTGGAATTATTAAATGACATTTAATTAAACCTTGTGTAAATAACAGGACAAAAAAAGAATAAATTCTCAAAACACAATGCAGAAAATAATTATAAAGAGAGGACGAGTTCTCAAAATACAATGTAGTGAACAAATGTTCAAATGAACAATAAGGAAAAAAGTGTTAAACAGCCACATTTTGAAGACATTTTTTTTTTAATCATTTGTTATCCAAGTAAAATTTGGATAGGTATCATTTGATGACTTCGTATTACCATTTAATGCTAGTTGCAACACTGCAATATATTTTAACACCGTTATAATTTCAAAAACTAATATTTTAAGACAGATTGAGCTTTGGAAACAAAAACTAAAGTTTGAAATTTGAGGGACCAAAATCAGAATAAATCCAAATTTTAAGAATCATAAAT